TGGTTTCGACAGCATGGTGCTTTAAAAGACCAGCCAGGCCAGACTCTTGAGCCAAACATTACAGAACCACTAGGGAGGACCTACAAATTCGTATGTCAATGAAAGAGCCACGAAAAGACGGGACTACAGAGAGAGACCCCACTAGAGAGTGAGTTCATTAGTTGACCCCGCATTCAAATCCAGTTTATGTATCCAATACTTTAGAGAGTTCTGGGCAATGTGCTAGACTTGCTTAATGTTAGTGACTGTTTACTTGACTGTTCTGTTGGGTTATACATTATTTAAATCAAATAAACGGATCAAGTGATCTTTCACCTGCCTTCATTAATTTCGAAAAATCTAAAATTTTCTAAACCCAAATTTGAGCTGAAGGTTGAAATCTTTCTGTGTGATTATAAAACACGTAGTCAATAACTGTTGCAGATTTGGAGCGCTGTAACGAAGATCTCAACTTGTATGTATAGGTAATGCATGGAGTGCTATTTGTAGCTCTTAATTTAGTCCTGTAACATGCGTTTCTAGTTTCACTTTTCTTTCATCTTTTTTTTGCTTTTAATGTATTCTCGGTGTGAATTCTACGTTTATTAGAGAAAGCAAGATTTTGTAAGTTTGGAATTGCTTGACGTTAAAAATGCTGATTAAGTTGCTTCAAAAGAATCTCAAACATTTTTTACTAGCAATTTTGCAACTTTTCATCTGAATTAGTTCCATTGTGTCAATCCGTCATTGAGTATCCCTTTATTGTCACTTTAATTGCTTCTTGAGCTCACTTGTGTATTTCGTAACTGCTGAACGTAAAACGTATCACATTTACTGTAGCCAAATTCTTCTACATTTTTCCTTTTAGTGAATGTACCTGTATTGTTTTCAATTGAGCATTAAGCATTTAGCAAGATACTCATTATTTCACCTTTATTTTGTCGTCTACTTAACGTTCCACTGCGTTGTGTACATTCCCTTGTGGGGGAACCTCATCTGTGAATAGTTTTGTCCAATAAAATTATTCCATTTTTCCAGCGATTCTAAAGAAACAGTTTTTCTCTGTGGTATCTCTTGCTGAAGGATGTTTTATGGTTATATCGGAGTTTTTTTAGTATGTGCAATCATTTGGAGCTTTTCGCATTGTATTTTTGTAATAGGGCGGAAGTGGTGTAGTGGCAAGTGGCACGCTTACCACGCGAGCGGTCCGGGGATCAAATCCTGGGTCGTGAGTCGCCCGGGCCAACCAAGCCTTCCATCCCTCCGGGGTCGGTTAATTGGTACCAGACTTGTCTGGGAGGATAAAAACACTGACTTGTACATCGGCTGGCCCCGCAAGTCATTGTATAGGCCACATCGCATTCAAACGCCACTACGAATGTACAAATGGAAGTAGAATGCGTGCCGCATCCCAAAAGGGATTGATCAACGGCAAATGCTTTATCCTTATCTTTTATTTTTGTAATGCTAGATGGGCTATAAAAGTGATTCTTTATAAGTCTTGAGAATTGTTCCAAAAAATTATGGTCGATATTGTGGAGTTCGCCATGCACTCGATATTCTTTCAGAATTGTAGAAGCATTTGTATACGCTCGTGGTAGATGCAATTAGTTGTTAGGCTAGTTGGAGTTGAGGTAATATTAGTTGCTGATGGCGTGTATAGTCCTACGACTGGATAGTTTGGTGGGCATTGCAGGTTTCCGCTCCACAGCAGGAAGATGAGGCGTCTCCGCGTATGAAGCTTGGCGTTCGTATAGAACTAGGAGGAGCGCTGAATTATTCAAGTTTGGGTGGCGATATCCTGCGGATGTAGTGATCCCTGTTGTCCTTTCCAGGACAGCCTGCAGTGATGAGTATATATTGGTTCAAGAATTTCGTTGGTATTCGTCAGTCTGAATTCGAGTTATTGCGAGTGCCAGCACCAAGTACCGAGTTCTGCATTCACGTCACAATGAGAAGTGTACAGGTCAGTGAAGCTTAATGTGAGCGTAATGTCTGGCTTTATCAAATAGTGACTGCTGTCAGCCGCTAAGGTCATATGCCACTAAAGAATTCGCGTGTCAAATCTCCTATTCGCAACTAAGCTACGGCTCAATTTTGACTGAAAGTTGAAAAAGCATTATTTCTAATCACCCTTGCTTTTTTTGTGAGAATGACAGTCACCACCCAGGATATTTTTCAGACCGGAGCTCTTCTTGGTTCGATACTCGGCCCTCTGACAGCAATGATGTTTGAAGGAAAGAATATGAGCGCGAAACGTCTCAGGTTAGAGACGTTTGCTTGTTTGAGGTGTTGATCGGGAGCCCCACTGCGCGGCAACGCTCTGTGCTCCGCATTTGCGGGAAGTAGCTGTGTCCTCGTCCTCAGTCGAATTCGTGTCGTTTCACATTTTGGTGATTGCTACGGAGGAGTTTCCAACTACTCCTTGCTTGTTTCTTTTATTTAACTTACTACAAATTTATAATTTATGTATGTGAGTGCTAAAAAAACCAATTCGAAAAAAAGGCAATGAAATGTCGAATATTTGAATAGGACAAGGACTTCGTCAAATCATCAGTATGCGAAATGAATTACTACAATCTGATTTATTTGAAGCACAAGTCTCAAATAAGTACAGCTTGGTAGAACTGTCCTTCCACCCCCTCCACCCCCTGCGCCTCGACGCATTCACCGCACGGTTGTCCCCCTGAGCGATACTCATATCTTGGCTTGGGTTCCATATTTGATTTGATTTATTACGTGAGTTACTCTCATTACATCATGTGAGACGGCAAACACAATCAAAATTTCATATAGAAGAACCTGAGTCAACAAGAAATCAGAACCCTTTGTAGATTACGGCTTGCAGTTAGGTTGCGGTGAAAAAGGAAAAAGATTCCGGTGTTGATCAGTCCCTTAGGGATGTGCCACGCGTTTGAGTCCCATAGAGAATTGTGGTGGCATGGCTTGAATGTGGTATGGCTCATTCTAAGACTACGGGATCAGTCGATGAACAAGTCACGGTTATTATCCTCCCATACAGGTATGGTACCAATTGACCGAGAGGTGGATAGCTTCCAGGCACGTCCGCAAAATGAAGTGAGTGATAAAGCAGCAATGGAATAAACAACCGCTAACAAATCGGGTAGCTCGCAGGACTTGAGTATCAATGTTTTGTAATGGGATATTGTGATAACACTCTACGGCTATATAAACACCTGCTTAGCACACTTCCGTTCATTCCACATGGTGCTGCAGTGGCAGCTGGAGGGCAGTGGAGAGAGGAAGGGAGGATGGGAAGGGAAGCGGAAAATCTACCGTCATATCATGATTGTGTCCCTTCTACTGTATGAAACACCATTGTGTTGCATACGCGTCACTTCCACGAGGTGTTGGTGTCACAGGAGGGAAGGGACCATAGCGGAGGATAGAAAGCTTGCGCAGGAAAGGAAGGTCCCGGCGGTTGACGGGGGACCAATCTGGTAGTAATAAATCCATGCAAGCAGATCACTTTTTCTTCCTGTTGTTTGTGATGTGTGCAAGTGAACTTCTTGTGACGCTGATCAGAGGCATTTCATTTGATTTTAGTGATTCATTCGTAAATGGTGGCACAACTGGAGCGATGATCGGTGCTTTGATGGGGCCTGCGCTGACGTACATATCGCTTAGAGATATGAATACTCTGCAACTATACGATAAGTGTTACAGATTGAGGTTTGTTTGAAATGTTTGTGAAAATGTAATCTTTTATTCTTATGGAATAAAATAACGGATAGGAATTTACACGCGATGTTTGTGAAATGCTCAAGATCAACTTACCGTACTCAGGTTCGACAAACAACAACTATGGCAGGATCGTACATGCATAGTGTCGGCTGCCCTTGGTTATTTGACAAACGGTTCGATGGGGTTCGTAATTGGGCTAGACTTAGCTGTATTGATGAGCAACCTGATGGGAAAAGCCTGGTGAACGCAGGGCTGAGAACACCAGTATAATGAAGCCCTTGTTCCGATATAGCGTTTTAATATGGAAATAAGCCCCTTTGTCTCATTGATTCGTTTTTGGTTCAGGCCGTTTAAGAAAACAGAGAATTTGTATTATACTGTAGTGGTTTTAATCGCATTTTTCAACGTTGCAGCTGATGTTTTAACAATAGGCGCAGTCGCATTGTTTGAATGTTTTATATGTTCCAGGAAAAGTTCTTTTTCCACTAAATAGTTCAGTCTTTCTAATCTCTCCATTACTAGTTAGTTCGAGTTATTGTCAGGCATTAGCCAGCACTGAAAGAATTCGACAAATTGCACTTCAGACTACTCAGTACTCGCAATTTTGTCTTTGGGCTAGGTCTTTTCATTCGTGATGAAGTGCTCGCCCCAGTTTTACTCGCTGCTTATGATCTTGCAGTTACTACCTGATAGATTTCATGTTCGAAGTCCTTGGAAGTAGTTCTCCTTCGCATTTGTGCATGTGCCTTCTTCAAGCATCTATTTTGAAAAATTCCCAGTGATTTCTATAGTTTGTGAGATTTTTTATGTTTGAGATAAACATTTAATTTCACATCCTCGTGTGGCGTTGTCCTGAAATTTTGTGGTGATTTAATAGCTTAGCAGTACTATGAGCAAATTCGTCCAAAAAATTCAAAATCTACAATATTCCGGATATGAAGGTCTGAACTCATGGAGATCCTTTGTACCCTCTGCTTCCGGAAACCAGATGTTCGTCGAGTGGACCAGGGGCGGTATTCAATCCTTCCCCCAGGGGGATATATCCCCCTCCTCTGATTCAATCCTCTGGGGGACAAAAAGGGTTGCGTCATAGGACCTAGCATACCTCTGTGTTTCTACCTGCCAGACAGTTAGAGCAGCGCTACTACCCTCCACTGATGAAGCACTCTTTCCCTGAGGGGTCGCGCTGCTCTAACTGTCTGGCAGGTAGAAACACAGAGGTATGCTAGGTCCTATGACGCAACCCTTTTTTGTCCCCCCAGAGGATTGAATCAGAGTAGGGGATATATCCCCTGGGAAACGGCACGTCGAGGATTCTCTGCCCGATCAGACACGATCTCTCGCGCGGACATTCACACTCGCCATGCCGTGCCGTCTGTGCTCTCCGCGCGGATGTTCACTCTCGGCACTACTCTCGCATGGTAGAGAGCTATGGTCGAGGATTTCCTCGACCGTTATTCACCCTGGTCAGACCACACCAACAAGCGACGGAAGACTCCCGTCAAAATGAAATGGTTTCTGGCCATGAGATGGTCAGCCGGTTGTATCATGTATTTGTGATGTATCAGTTGGCACAAATTACGGCTATCATTTATCAACTATCAGCTATCACTGAATCATTAGTAACCGGATTTACTTGGAAGCCGTCGTCACTTGTTGTGTGTGGTCTGCAGTCGACACGCTTCTAGTTTATGGAATCGGAGTATATCATTTGCTTCTTGGAATAACATTGTAGACTCATTTTGTTTCTAAATATACTTGCCACCCATGTGTTGAGGGGAGATGGTGCAAAGACAGATCGCGCCGAGGAACACCACGTGCATGAGCATTTAGATCAACTCTCTATCTGGATTTTTCTGGCTCGTGCGTTATCGGTTATGCACCCGGATCGTTTGGGTTTGGTGAATTGGTTGACCCCGCAGTTCATTCTGTGGGCCCAACCGCATTCAACCATCGTTCACTGAACATAGGTGGATTTCGTGGCTCATCTCAGGACTGTCCTTGAAAACACGGTAAATTCATTGCACCACCTTCAATTTTCGTACGTTTTTCCCGTTAGAAAACGTCTAAATTTCTAGCTGGGGGAGGGGTCTAATTTTAACAAAGCTGAGCTGAGTCAACTTGTAGACAGGAACGGGCAATTCACCACTGGTCAAGGTCCCTCTCCCTGTACGTTCACAGTCCCACACGTTTTCCAAACAACAAACCTCAGAATCCTCAAATTCGCAAGTTGGAGGCGATCCGCAGCCCTCACGAAGATTAGCGGTACTTGTTCCAGTTGTTAATCTTAGTCTGGGTCCAGGTACACAGGCCGTCGGGAACTCATTCACCAACGTCATTACCTGCTTATGCTGACACAGCACAAGGCGGGGGCGGGGGGCCGAAAAAAAAAATGCTCGATAAAATCGACGCTCACGTAAGGGAAGGATGGATAGTGAAGAAGGTATATGGGAGCGTCAAAGTTGAGAATATATGACTTCCTTCTGCAGGAAAGCGTCACGTCACAAAAGCTATTATGCCGGTAAACATAGGCGCCAACGTACAGAACATGTTGCGTGATTTCCTTCATAGCATCACCTTGAACTCTGACTAATTCAGTTCGATTTTGCGTATGGATAATTATTCTGCACATTACGAATACGTGATATTATAACGGTAATGACATGAAATAGGTATTAATCGTAAATGGCTATCACAACCAAGTTGGCTGCAACAGCACCGGGCGTGAGCCAGGTAATATATTCTACCATATTTGTTATCACGTTAAGGTGGCGTTTCTCGGTTTTTTTTCTGTTTTGCTTTTCTCGTCACAAACGTACCATTTAAAATCGCATTTCAACGATGTACGTTCATCGAAGTTTGGGTCTCATCAATGATTCATCCATCCGCTTCTCTTTCCTACTGAATTACGCGATTGTCTTTTTGACTACGCTCAAGCCAACACATCACGTGTTTTGGCTTTTGGCTTTTGCTAGACCACCTTGAGCCGGACAGTCATTTCAATATCTAACGGGTAGTAGTCAAGGCGGAAGTGGTGTAGTGACAAGTGGCGCGCTTACCACGCGAGCGGTCCGGGGATCAAATCCTGGGTCGTGAGTCGCCCGGGCCAACCAAGCCTTCCATCCCTCCGGGGTCGGTTAATTGGTACCAGACTTGTCTGGGAGGATAAAAACACTGACTTGTAACATCGGCTGGCCCCCGCAAGTCATTGTATAGGCCACATCGCATTCAAACGCCACTACGAATGTACAAATGGAAGTAGAATGCGTGCCGCATCCAAAAAGGATTGATCAACGGCAAATGCTTTATCCTTTTTTATAACGGGTAGTAGTAAAGTTACAAAGGTGCTAAAGGCAAGCTTAGCGATCATAAGGTGGGCAGAAGGAACTGACACATTATCTAACCATAAGACACGAGTTTGAGATCGAATCGCTCATGCTTTTCGGCCCAGACCAAACAGTCACCTCTGTCTCATTGGGCGCCTCGCTCGTTTCTATTTTGTTTGTAATTGTGTCTTAATCGCCTGGAAGGATGAAAGCTCTGAGTTGTAGATTTGATTGGCTCGGAAAGACGCTACGATTCTGAGTGACAGTCGAGTGCATGGCGCGTTAGGAAGAAGTGAGAAAGCGAAGGGAAAATATTTGCTCACTCATTTCTTTGATAAGAAAGGCGGAAGCTTCACAGATTTAAATGTGGATGAGTAGGGCAATCGTCTTCCCATGTTTACCAAAAGGATCATTAACATCACACAATAAGATATTGCTCATTTCTTAGTTGTTGCCATGGACGATGGTCGATGTTAACTTGGTGAGATCAACAGTTCTTGGCAAGAAGGTAAATCAGAATGTGATCAGTACAAGATTGCAGTTCGGACTCTTCAACTACGGTTTTCCAATTTTTCGACTCCTGTTTCAATTTTACATAATATTAGGTGAGTTCGAGAAAGTATTTCTAGGGCTTAGCCTCGAGAGGAGCGGAGAGAATTCGGGATGAGTGAACAATTTTCAACTTTTTCGGATTCCTCCACACTTCTGAAGCTATTTTAAGGGGTGGGCCCATGTTGCAGTAGCCCCAGTTCCGTAAAAAAAGAAGAAAGTTCACTGGGTGAGGAGACCATCAACAGCCTCGCAAGGATGTAGTGAATTTTAGGCGAAATATTTTGCTTTGCTGGGACTTGAATCCAACGTCCATTCTTTCTCAGTAGGGATGCTAACAGTATAATTAGCGCTTGAAGGGAGTGGTCGCGAAAAATTAATCTGACTGAACGGATTGGGAAACTAGCATAGTGGCTGGGTAGGTACCCAACAGGGAGCGCGTCACGGGGTGAGAAAGGCAGAGACGCAGACGAGTCGCAGCGCTTGCAGCAGTGATTTTACGTCTAATCAAAAGAATGTGCTACAGCATGTCCCACACGCACAGCACGCGCTGCGACTCGCCCGATCACCCGTGTGCGTCTCTGCCTTATCGCAGAGGGACATGCCTCCTGTCGGGTAGGCAAGACGATACGGCTGTAGGCGCATGATCAGCGGCGAGATGACCTGCGCCGAAATGAGTTCCGGAACTCTTCACGACCTGTTAGGTGCTGATTATCGAAAGGGTTTCAACGGCTGCACAGTTGATGAGTAAAAGTTATCGTTATCGCTTGATGTTCATTTCTCGCGTCATTGATGTCGAGCGGTCTTACCTGACGAGCCCTAGCTCGTCCAGACAATCTACATATCAGCTCTTATCTCTGGTACTTCCGTGAATGATGCGTGGCACCCCATCTCAAAGCCAGCACGATCTTTTCCTCCGAAGAAGGGTATAACGGAAGAGTCGTTGTCTATAGGGGTTGAAAGTGAACGTGGTAGAGTGGGCACTGGTTCAGAAAAATCCGAGTGAAAATGCACAGACTGGCGAAATGGGACCATTCTCACCCCCTTCGGTTTTCGCTTTGGATCATGCCATCATTCACTATCTTTCTGATTGTTAACGCTTTACATAGAAAGTATAGGGTCCTATGCTATACTTCCCCGAGGTGATCCAAAGTTTCCTTTAAGTTTTTTGAAAGATATAGTTTCTTCATTTTCAGACGCATGTTCATTTTAAGTACATATACTCGATATCCGATAGTTGGGGTAGGTGTGGCACCGGAAGTGACGTGCACTTGATAGAAGTTGCGTGGATAAGCTGCTTCCAACATACATCGCTGGATATCAGCAAAGCATGCTGGCAACAGCTTATCCACGCAACTTCTATCAAGTG